GCCGCTCGAGCTCCGTGTGGCCGAGGCCGCGGCGCCGTGGCTGCTCGCGTGCCTGCGTGTCGGTCCCGGGGACGGCGGAGCGGTGGCCCGCGAGCCGGTGAGCGCGCGGGTTAGCGAGAAACTCCATCTTCTCGCTGTCCTGCCCGCCATTTCACGCGCACTGACCGGGGCCCGCTCACGCACCGGTACCAAGTACAAATGGCGGAAGTACCGGTGAACCGAATAACGGCCACGCGACTTTCCCCGATCCTCACCGAGCGCCGTTCAGACAGGAATTGGCTGGCTTCATCCCGGGTTGGACCGGTACCGGGAAAGGCTATCCCGGGCCGGGCTGTACCGGAACGCTCCGATCAACGATCGATATTAACGGCTACATGCTAACAGCTAGCCTGCTCTCGTCTCCTCAGCTCGACTCGCAGCGTGCACGCGTTCCATGCGCGTGTCCGCTGTATAAGAGCTACATGTACTGCGCGCGCGTGTACCCGAGTCTGGTATTACAGCAGCACGTGACAGCTGGAGCAACAACAGCATTGATGATTATCAGTGTATTGATCTGCTGATCGAACATTGATCACGTGTTGTTTGTTAAGCCAATTGGCTGCAGTTCTGCTCAGAGTTCCTGGATTACAGCAGTTTGAAATAAAGCTGTTGAAAAGTGTTTCACCTTTGACCTCAGCCTTACCACTTCCTATGTCCTAGCCTTGTTTCCTTTCCTTAGAGCAAGTGTGGAATCGTCCCAAGCAAAACCTCCGTCCTCAGACTGTTCGTCAGTAGGTCAGAATCAGATATCAGAATACTTTATTAATCCCTGGAGAAATTATTTTGATTACAGTGCAAACAGTAAGAAAGACAGACATTACAAGAAGTAACTAATCGACACAATTAACTATATACTACACTATATATATATATATATACACAAACGAAACTGTCTAAATTCTTCCATCTTTAATAAAATGATCAGTGTTGCTGCTTTACCAGGTGTAACTATGATGTTTAACATCCAGGCATCCATGAAAACAGAATTCATTACATTTAACGGAGTTAGAAGTTAGCGGAAGTTAGCTCGCTAGTTTTGCTAGTTACCTAAGCATGATGTAGCATGTTCTGACTGAGAGATTTCTGAAAAAAAAAATCAAACGTACAGCTCTGCTATCACTTCCAACATAAATGAAGACAGGAAGCTACACGGCAGTGACGTTTGTAGGGTTACTGAAGTTGGGCTAGCTGGTGTTTAATGCTGTGCTATGTGATCGCTAGCGACACAGCTATGTTAACATAACATAAACAAAAAGTTAACGTGAGGGTTCCTGATGGTTAGGGACCAATGCAATCGCATGGCAGGATGCTGTAAACCAAACTTCAGTCAGGAGAACAACTGAGATAATCCATCCACAATATGAGTTTAGTCATTAATATACTGCAACAACATGGGAATAGAGCAGCTGTGATAGAATACAGCATTAATGAATCAATGGTACAGAAGTGGAGGAAGCAAGAAGAATGAGTTCAATAAAGTTTGATTTATCTGACTGCTTTGTTTCGCTTGATGTGCCTTATAATCCCGTGCATCTTATGGTCCGAAAAATACATATTTGACTTTTTTATTTGGCACACTGCAGTTTAATGTAGCAAAGCACCTCTTTTTAACTTCAGTGGATATTATACATGGTTATGCTCAGGATATGTCAGCCCATTTCTACTGGAAATGCCCTTTGGTTAAACTTCAGCAAGGAATTTACTTTTACACTGTTAAATGTTTATATAGCTTTAATGCACATAAAAAAAAACAGCTGCTTGTTTAAGCAAAATAAATAAAAAAAAAAAAAATAAATTTTCAAATATATATCGTGATATATATTTTTGGCCATATCGCCCTGCCCTTGTGTTGAGCTCACACAGCGTTCTTCACACAGCGACGACTCAACGGGAAGTAGTTTTATTCTAGCGGAGTGATGTTCAGTTGTGAGTTTAACAGCTGCTGATAAAAACTGTAAATATGTCAGCAGGTTACCGATGAAATAGAAAATGCAGTTATGATGAACACATGATATTATGTCGATGTTTTCATGAAAGATTAGGACTGTGGACAGCTATCTAAAGGATGCTCCGGTGTCTCCTCTGCTTAAGGACGCACTGAAGCTCCTTTCCTTAGTATGTGGGACAGCTCTGATTATGGCCGCCACACAGATACTCTCTCAGTGAAGAACTTTCACTAGCAAAATGGACTCAGTGGGTTCAGTGAGCTGACAGGAAGTGACATCATGAACAGTTAGTGGTGGTTGATGTGACAGGAAGTTCAAAGATGAATCATCATTACGCTGATGGTGCAATCTCAAACATCGACTGTTTTTAAGAATCCAAACAATCTGAAGGGAAATCTTTAAAACAGCACGTGAGTCGGAGGAGGCCTGTGAACATGTGACACATGGATCACATGACCTGTCAGAGGAGCAGGTGAGCCTGACAATAAAAGCCTGCTCACACATTTGCAGTGAAAGGCTTTTAATTTGAAATAATACAGGAAGTTTATGTATAAGGGTTGGAGCAGGTCAGGTCTGCTGATTGGAAGGTCGGCGGTCCGATCTCTGGCTGCTGCAGTCTGCGTACCCTTGTTTCTCCATTAGAGTGTGAATGAGAGTGATTGGGAGACAGAGGCACGTTGTATATAGCGCTCAAAGAGAAGTGCTACATAAGAACCAGTACATTTACCACAAACAGCATGATGCAGTTAAACAGACCGAACAGTAACAGGTGACCAGGTTGCTATGGTAACAGACACCATCCAGCTGTGTACTGCAACTCCATTTACACTGTTGTAATGTCAGAGCTGATGTCATCTGTGTTCAGTATCATGTGACGTATCACGTGATCAGCAGTGACCTCCTGCAAACAGCTACAGATGTCATAAGATTAATTGTGAAATTAAAGTTCTTCCTGGCTAGTGTCGTTAGCTAACCATCAACAGCTGGTTTATGCTGGAGCCGGGGCATCGCCTCGTTCATAGCTGAAGGTAGAAATGGTGTCCTGGAGCTCCTCTGACATAGAACGCTGATCATTCATGCCTGAGGCCTTAGGATGGGGAAGGTATAGATCAGAGACACGAGGAGAACCTCACATGATTGTAATGTAAAAACGGGTGTTGATGATGTCACACATTTTGATTGGTCAGGTGGTTTCAGTCCTGGGGGATAATACTAGCTGTAAGTATCATTATCTCCTGACCAGACCAGGGTGCTTTGAACCTGATCACGTGATCTGTACCTGTTCTCAGATGGCGGAAATGGTGAAGTACGTGGACGACGAACATAAGAGCATCTTCTTGAAGCTGCTGAACGAGCAGCGGCTGGAGGGCGAGCACTGCGACATTGCCGTGGTTGTCGAAGACGTCAAGTTCCGTGCTCACCGCTGCGTCCTCGCCGCCTGCTCCAACTACTTTAAAAAGCTCTTCAAAAAACATGAGGTACCTCAAAAATACATTCATGTACTTAATGAGTACTTCGAACACAAAGTATTGTACAGATTTTTTCAGTTTTATTAGTATAGTGCCAACAACAGTTGCCTCAGGCAATTTAGATAGTAAGGTAAAGAGTACAATAATACAATAAATACAGTTTACCTGGTGAAGGCCGACTGTGCAAGGTGACACCAAGGTCCCCGTCAGCAACATCGTATTAACATTTAAATCTACAACACATTTAATTTCATCATTTCATTTTAGAGGATCATCATTTAGCCTGGAGAAATAGTTTGCTGCTTTATAAGAAAGCCCTCCGCAAAGCCAGAACATCTTACTACTCATCACTGATTGAAGAAAATAAGAACAACCCCAGGTTTCTCTTCAGCACTGTAGCCAGGCTGACAAAAAGTCAGAGCTCTGTTGAGCCAACCATCCCTTTAACGTTAACTAGTGATGACTTCATGAACTTCTTCACAAATAACATTTTAATCATTAGAGAAAAAATTACCAATAATCATCCCACAGATGTAATATTATCTACAGCTACTCTTAGTACCATTGATGTTAAGTTAGACTCTTTTTCTCCAATTGATCTTTCTGAGTTAACTTCAATAATTACTTCCTCCAAGCCATCAACGTGTCTTTTAGACCCCATTCCTACAAAACTGCTCAAAGAAGTCCTGCCATTGATTAATTCTTCGATCTTATATATGATCAACCTATCTCTAATAATCGGCTATGTACCACAGGCCTTCAAGGTGGCTGCAGTTAAACCTTTACTCAAAAAGCATCTCTAGACCCAGCAGTCTTAGCTAATTATAGGCCAATCTCCAACCTTCCTTTCATATCAAACATCCTTGAAAGAGTAGTTGTCAAACAGCTAACAGATCATCTGCAGAGGAATGGTTTATTTGAAGAGTTTCAGTCAGGTTTCAGAGCTCATCACAGCACAGAAACAGCTTTAGTGAAGGTTACAAATGATCTTCTTATGGCCTCTGACAGTGGACTCATCTCTGTGCTTGTCCTGCTAGACCTCAGTGCAGCGTTCGATACTGTTGACCATAATATCCTATTAGAGCGATTAGAACATGCTGTAGGTATTACAGGTATTGCACTGCAGTGGTTTGTATCATATCTATCTAATAGACTCCAGTTTGTGCATGTAAATGGAGAGTCCTCTTCATAGCTTAACAGCTGTGTGCTGTGCCCCAATTCAGGGTATAATGGTTACACACACACACAAACACACAGTAACACAGGAGATATATATTTATTTATATATATATATATATATATATATATATATCCTCATATATGATATGTGTATATATATATGTATGTATGTGTATATGTATGGTGACTGCAGTTCACTTCATGGCCTCCAGGGGTTCCCGAGTGTGTTCTGGTGAGATGTCTCACCTGTACGTGTGTGTCTTCTCAGGTGGACAACTCATCAGTGATTGAGATTGACTTCATCCGCTCTGACATCTTTGAGGAAGTCCTGAACTACATGTACACGGCGAAGATCTCTGTGAAGAAGAAGGACGTCAACCTGATGATGTCATCTGGCCAGATCCTCGGCATCCGCTTCCTTGACAAACTCTGCTCTCAGGTAACACACACAGGCGACACACAGACAGGTAATCCACATACAAGTGAAGCGTGTACACAGGTAACGCACATGCAGGTAGCATAAAATGCATGTAACACACAAGCTGGGGACACACACAGCTAACAGGTGTTGGTGGGTGTGTCCTCAGAAGCGAGATGTGTCGTCGGAGGACAAGGAGAAGTTTCCCTATGACATCGTAAAGATGGCGCTGCCGCCTGAGGCTCAGCTGGCCGCCGACTCGGAGGTACGGATTAACCCATTGTTTACCAGTCAGAGCCTGTACTTTGTAATCTGATTACTGTTGTGTGTAGGTGCTTGGTGAGCACGATGACACGTCTGCCACAGATGACCTTGTGGAGCCCTCGGCCAATCCAGAGCTGGAGAAGTCTCCCAGTGCAGCGCTGCATGTGCAAGAGGCGATCCTAAAGGAACTGACCAATGAGGATGTGCACAAGGTACGCATACTTACACCTGAGTATTCCTGTATCCACGACGACTATCACTGACACATCGTCCATCCAGGTAACCTGCTACGACCAGGATGTGGTGACGGAGATGGAGGCGGAGCCTAAAGAGCTTGGAGCGGAGCATCACGCCACACAGACGCTGACCTTCGCGGACAGCATAGGGGAAGTGAAGGACGAGCAGCCGCCAGGCTGGTCAACGGCGACTGCCGACATGAAGTTCGAATACCTGCTGTACGGACACCGTGAGCAGCTCGCCTGCCAGGTGTGTGGGAAGACTTTCTTGGATGAGAGCAGACTCAGGTAAGTACACACCTCAATGATGAAAATTGATCTTGAAGCCACAGGCGAAGGACACCTCTGTCTGTCTCTGCTCAGGAAGCACGAGAAGCTTCACTCGGCCGAGCGTCCGTTCGCCTGTGACATTTGCACCAAAGCTTTCACCACCCACGCTCACCTGAAAGGTAACCACACCCACGTACGTTTGCTTGCTTCTTACTTCTATGCTCCCTGAGGTCACCCTAACCCTCACCTGTCTGTTCAGAACACCTGAAGATCCACGCAGGTTTCAAACCCTACAGGTGTGACGTGTGTGGGAAATCGTTCATTCGCGCTCCGGACCTGAAGAAACACGAACGAGTTCACAGCAACGAGCGGCCCTTTGCCTGCCAGATGTGCGAAAAGGTGAACTCACCTGTCCTCTCACCTGTGCGCCCCATCTTTCCTGTCACCATTCTAACCAGTCTGGCCCTCACCTGTCTGCCTGCAGGCTTTTAAACACAAGTCTCACCTGAAGGATCACGAGAGGAGACACAGAGGAGAGAAACCGTTCGTCTGTCCGTCCTGTACCAAGGCCTTCGCCAAGGTACTGCACTCAGTGTATAGAGTACTACATATGGTATATAAAGACAGTACTAAACACAGTATATAGACTAGAAATGGCACAATACCACTTTTTTATGTCCGATCGGCCAATACCGATATGGTAAATGGCCTGTATTTGTATAGCGCCTTTACTAGCCCCCCCTAAGGACCCCAAAGCACTTTACACACCCAGTCATCCACTCTCACATTCACGCACTGGAGGAGGCAGCTACAGTTGTAGCCACAGCTGCCCTGGGGCAGACTGACAGAAGCGAGCCTGCCATATCGCGCCATCGGCCCCTCTGGCCAACACCAGTAGGCAACGGGTGAAGTGTCTTGCCCAAGGACACAACGACCGAGACTGTCGGAGCCGGGGCTCGAACCGGCAACCTTCCGATTACAAGGCGAACTCCCAACTCTAGAGCCACGATCGCCGATATGAATCCGATATAGCGTTTTTTAATCAATAAAAATGTTTTTTTAATATCTTGCTGCTTTTTGTATAATTCATACTCAAGTAAAACAAAAAACAACAACACTAAATCTGTTCTGTTATACCTGTATGCAAAAAATACACTGCACCCAAAATATTTCATAGTTCAGCAAAACTGATCAATCTAATAAACTTAAACCTGCTCCATCCTCCCTATTCTGGTATTTTAAAGAGTACTTAGCAGAAATATTAAACAACCTAACTAATAGGGTTGCCAACTCCCAGCAAAAAAAAAAAGAAAAAAAAGAAACCACGCTCCACCTCATGATGCTTAATCGACGTAATCAACTTTAATTTGATGCAGTGTGAAAAAGATGCCCAGAAAGAAATTATTTTTCAAGAATAATTAAATAGATTCAACATCTTTCTTCAACAGAATTGCAGACTGCACAGATGGTAAGCTAATATACCCTAGTAAGCTATAGAAGTACTATAGCTTACTAGAGTATATTAGACTTAACAGTTACTATATACAGTAATGGACTTCTATACATTTTACATCAGATTAAAACTTTGGGTGTAAGACTCAAATAATTATTTATTAAAAGCTCGACATTTTAAATGAGAATAAGAAAGAAAAGTATGTCTTTGTGCCCCCTTTTCCCTGTTCATGCCCTATCGGCCCCCCTGACTAAACTTTGCTAGATCCGCCCCTGCACAGTTACGTCAGCTGTAGAAAAAGATCCTGGTGTAGAAATAATATTAAATAAATTCTAACAACAGCTTATCAAGCTTAAACGTGCTGCTGTTGTTCAGCTGGTTTCCTCTTTCTGTTGCAAAGTGAGCCAAAAACAAACAAGAGAGACGGACTCGCGACAGAAAAGCCGATCAGCTGATCATTGATCAATTTCATTGAAGTAGCAGTAGGAGAGAGAGAAAGAGAGAGAGAGAGGCAGTCGCTCCATATATCGGTTGTTAAGCTTAACGTGGGAATGCTTTACAAACATTCAGAGATGAACTTACACACTTGCTTCACTTCTCTCTGGGAAAACTTCCTCGGAGATGAAATGCTGGTTTGGTAGCAACGCCACAAATACACACAGCCGCTCTATCACGTGATGCATACTGCTCCAACGTGCTACGGTTATGAGCCGAGTTACGCCATGTAGCAAGTTTTGTAAGGTGCTTTTTTGATATTTAATGATCGGATTACATTTTTTATTTCTCTCCGATATCCGATCCAGTAATTTACGTCAGTATCAGACCAATACCGATACGTAATATCGGATCGGTCCATCTCTAGTACATATTATACCATATATACAGTACTGCAATCAGTATATACACAGTATTGTGTGGTCTTCGTAGTCCTAGTTAAAAATAACACAGCATCCTCTTTTGCATTGTGAGCTTCCTCGCCAAACATTATTATGCAACACCACAGACCAGTCTTCTTTTAGGTGCTCCACTGTTGCCATTCATCAGCTTTCTTAAATGTAGTGCCCCCTGCTGGTCAGCCTTATCATTACATCAACATCTGCATGTCAACACAAGTACTATACAGAGTATATACAGTACTGCACTAAGTATTTGTAATATTATTCTGTAGTATTACACAGTGTCCGTAGTGCCGGTACGTTTGTGTTGTGGTGCGTTCACTGTCCTTCTGTCATTTCAGGCGTCAGATCTGAAGCGTCATGAGAACAACATGCACAGTGAGAGGAAGCAGCTGAATCCTTTGCAGAGTGACACTGAAACACTGCAGGCTGCTGCCATGGCTGCTGAGGAGCAACATCTGGACTCCATCAGCTGCTCCTAACATCTGGACAGCCCTTTAACCTTTTCTGTTTTCTCACAAACTTTGAACGGACTTTGGCTGTGTTTGCTAGGAGCCTTTTTTCCTGCATCGAGTTGATGCACGTGAACCCAAGTGTAAGATAAACTGAGCGGCCATGTGACTCACACGTTGTCATGTGACCTCCCTCTGGCTACATGTATAATTTGTAACCTGGCGTGTTTGTCTTTTCAGTTTGAAGCATAAATTTATAAACTGTGTAAATTATAAACACTTCTGCTCAGTTTCATGAGCAATGACAGAGAGAACAGTTTAAATAAAGATTCAACCTTATCGACATGTTCTCCTAAGGTTATTAGTCCAAAAAGGTTCTTCATCATTGGTCACATGACCAATTTAAGACAACACAACAACAAGATGCAGCAACCCAGAGTCTCCATTTCAACTTAGGTCGAAAGTGCAGACTTCAAACTATATACCAGTTTTTAAATTGTGTCGATGGGCCACAAAACCAGAGTTATGATAAAAAAATACACGCAATGTTTTTTTCTGATCAAAACAGCGGTGTTTACAGCGGGAAGAAACTGCGTTTTCTAAGGACAACGCTAGCAAACACTCTCCGTTTGCAATTGAAAAAAGAAAAAACACCCCTTCCCTATTTTTTGTTAAAGTTTACCATGTCAACCAATCAAAAACTGATATGGCAACATGTGGCACTTGGTTGTGTAGGGAGAGGGGGCAGTTTTAGGAGTGACACCGGCGAGAGAAAGCAGGCGAGCAAAAGAAAGAGTGAGTTTTCATATGTGAGACATTAGTGATGTTTAGCATGTTTGGAGGCTGTAGTTAGTTTGTTGTGTAGTTGTTTTGTATTGTGTGTCAGTTATACTGCTGAATGTCACATTTGCTCCAAAAAGCCACCAACGGCAGATTCCAGTGTAAACACTGTTCCCACATGGAAACTGGACTGATGTACCTTCTGCTGTCAGACCTGCAGGTTTATCCCTGTGCTGTTCTCCTCTGTCTGAGAGTGGCCAGAAACGATTTTTTTGGACTGGCACAAATAATTTGTGTGCCTTCTTATTTGATGCAGAACACCTGATTGTTCTGTAAATAGATTTAAAGGGATATATAAAAAACGCGTGAAGCCTTGGCTGCATTTTTAGGTGAATAGTACCATATAACTTTGTAGTTTGCAAAACTTGTGCATATTTTTTTAGAAATATACAATTTCTAATTGCATTTCAAGTTATGAAAATGATTCATTAAACATGTTTGAGGTTTTTACAGTAAAAAATATACCTTTTTTTCTACTCGGATTTTACATTTTTTGTCTGAATTTAGATCAATTGTGCAAATACAGTATGTCAAAATGAAAAAAATAACCCCAATTTCAGATATTTGAGGTTGTGCTGAAAATAATGATACCAAACAAGGCAAGATAAACAGTTTTTAAAGTTGAAATATAGAAGTAAAATCAAAAGTAGTCAAAAACGGCCGGTTAAACTCACAGCTGGACTGCTACTTCCTGTTGAATGGTTGCTGCATGAGCTCAACATTAAGGCTCAGTGAATAGTAATGCCTTTTGCGGTATTGCAGTCTTTAGAATTAGTTTTTCCCTTCAGTACAAATCTGCTGGGATAACTGATGATGGAGAAATGCTTTCAGCTGCTACAGACATCAGTAAATCTGACCTTAGATAGGCTTTGTAAAGAAGGAGACTGATCTTGTTTCTATGACCACCATAAAACAATGGGGTCAGAACACCTGGCGAAATCAGATGTGTGCTTTGTAGTCCATCTTCTGCAACTGGTTTCAACATGGCAAACATCCAGCGTGGCACTGGATGTTTGCCACGAAGGTAAGGGCTTTTCTCTTTTCTTTTCCCAAGACCTTCTCCTACCCACTTTTCCTTGATCTCGATGATGCAGGAACAGGAGACGGGAGGAACTTTTGCACCTTTGTCTCTTTGTCGAGGGCATGTCTGTCTCCCGTTAACATTGGCTGTATCCTGGTATGCTCAGTGTTTTTCTCATGCACATTCTGGCCAAACCTCTGGTCTGACGGTAAACTGATGAGAGAGCACTGCTGCTGGTCTGCTTTCACTGTTCTGAAATCAGCTAGCAACAAAACAAATGTCAGTGAAAAATGAGTTTTGTCATGTGGCCGACGTGTGTGATGTAAAGATGGGGCACGAATAAGTTTTTAATAACGAGTTTCATACATTAACAAGTAAATGTGTGATGATGACCATCTCCAGTCTGATCAAAGCTGAACCGGTGCTGACTCAGCAACACTTTCAGCATCTGTGAGAACGTCTGAATGTAACCGGCTGCCATGACAATACTCTAACTTCATTTGAATATTGACCATTAACCATGTCAATACTGATCACACATTTTAATTTTTGAATTAATATTTTAATATGCGTTTGTACGTAGATGTAGGCCTGTGGTTCTGTTTTTCGGGGTTCAGAGATACGTGGTCCCAACAGGACTCCAAACATATGCTTTATACAATATCATATTTGATGTATCACATCATGTACTGAAATTAGCTCAACCGCCCCTCCCTGAGCCTGACTCTGCCGGAGGTTTTTGCTCATAGGGGGCATATGATTGTTGCCACTATTGTTGTGATTTGGCGCTGTATAAATAAAACTGAAGTGAATTGAACTGAATATTACAACAGAGACACTAGAGGGACTGAACCAGCCCAACCTGTGAACCTGCTAATTGGTGGGATATTTTTGAATTTAGACTTCCTTTGCTCATTTTTCCCTTCTTAGATGGTTCATTTAGAAGGATTTTGAAAATTAACCCAAGAAATTAGCACTGCCACGACCAACAGGGGAGCTACCATCAACAGGTGGGACTGATAGGATTTGACCTTCAAGGCTACTCAGATCTGCTTATTGTCTCAGTGTTAGTGAAGAAAACAGCTGGACCATTTGGAGGTAGCTAGGACGCTCACCCACACTGGTTCCATCTGAACTCTGGGCAAATGTCATGGGACTGGAGGTTAGGACTTTCAATCAGAGAGGCAGGACAGACTTCCTGTACAGGGGTCGTGGGCTGTGCAGATCGACGAGGGTATGCAGGGAACTTGAATAAATGTTCAATTTCTATGCTGTACGTCAGAACAAGATCCAGACTGTGATGAAAGTGGTGGCTTTTACATTTTCAGAGAAAAGTCAGCTTTGAGACTAATCATTTTAGTATCTAGATAATGAAATTGAGTAAGGTGATTGATGGATAACAACGAATGTAGAGTAATGAGGTGGAATGGAAGATTACTACTGCTGCTCCTCCACAGGAGCAATAATGTGGCCTTGTGAGCTTCTCATTGTCTTTTATTTTGGTGGTTTGGAAGGAAACACAGTCTTTTCTCTCCCAACAAGACCAGGTTTTCCACAGAAGGTTTCTGAATTATCCAAATTTCCGAATTAAGGACCACATCATTTTTTGGACACCACTCAGACAGACAGCGAATTATGGAGAACATGTAGGTAAACATGTCACTCCTGGTGCGACTGGGCAGGGGACCAGAGAAAACGAATTAGTAACCCATTAATTAATTATTAGCTTTCTAACGTCTGATTGAGAGAACTGATTTTATCTTTAATATATCTTTAAAAATGTGATTTATCCATGAATTTATGATCAGCATTTTATATATATAAAAAAAAAATCTTTCACTTGTTTCATTTGTTGTCTTCCATCTTTTTTAATTCAGGACATTAAACACATAAACTGTCATGTGTCAGCTTTAGTGACCAGGATATAAAGAGTCCTTTAAATAAGCTGTCCAAAGATTTCAGGTAAAATAAATGTTAATAAACAGAAGTTTACAAACAGCACAATAAACACTGCTTTGGGATTCCTTTCCTTTGAGCTGATCTGTAAACTCTGTCCTTTTCCAAAAGTTTGAGCTGGTAACCCAAACCCAGAGACAAGAGGACATGAAAAGATTCAGCTTATGGAGATCCAAATAAAACATCTGCAGATGCAGAGAGTGAACCGGAACATGTTTTTGAAGATGCAGGAAATAAAAGTGAAGAAAATTAATTAAAAACAGTCAAACTACAAAAGAAAGATCAATGAAAACCTGGAGGAAAGTAAACTTGTTCTGGTAAAATGATCAATAATATTCAGATGTTATCTGAGTTTATCTGTGGAACAAATAAAATATTTAACCTGAAGGAATTGAAATTGTGTCCTGATACGAGCTGAGCAGCAGAACACACACTGAACACTGGCTGTGTAACTCTAAGGTAGTAGGAAAGAGAAGTAGCAGAGTTTGATTACTGACAGAGACGTTAGTGATGGATTGCAGATGTTATTTCAAATCAAATCAAATCTCTTTGTTTGTATTGGGAGTGAAGGAAAGCTTTAATGAGACAAAACAAACTAGTTTTTATGTTTTATACAGTCTGTAATCTGACTACTGTAAAGAGTAACAAACTACAACAGGTAAAATAATCTGTAACATGTGAAATTCAATAAAAGAAAGGATTAAAAAACAGTATTGTGACAAAGTGAATCGAGCTGCTCCAGCTTCTTATCGAGACAAAACTTAATTGATGCTGAGCAGGTTCAAGCCTGCAGGTCTGTTTCTGCACATCAAACCAAACGTCTACCTTTTATCCTTCATCACTCCTCTTCTTTTTCTTCGCAGGAAATCTAATCTGCAGCTCCATCAGGCAGACCTCCCCTCTGCTCCTCCTCTTCCTCCTCTGCTTTCTCCTGAAGATTTCAGCCTCAGTCTTGATGAGCGTCTTTCACCGAGCACGTCGAGCGACTGAACAGGAGCTGAACAACAACCATTTGCACAGCTTCACATGCCACTTGGTGGTCAGGTGTTGTTACCGTGATGACGGTGAGCCGTGTGTTTAGGATGACGGGAAATTCTTCAGCTCTGACTCGTCAAAATCATGTAGTGAAGGCGATGAAGAGGGCAATCTACAGTAAACCTCCTCGAAACAGGATTGGAGCTGCGGTAAGTCTCTGTATCGAATTACTCACTAACTAGTCAAAGGCCACTAACTTATCATTAAACATTAACAGATCAATATCAACCAATAACCATCCAGTAATCATAAAATAGTGACACTTGTTTTTTTTCTGACAGCAAAGTTTCTTCGTCATGTCGGTGTTCGCAGCGGCCATGCTAGCTCCTGCGGCATGGATCCTCCATCACCTACCAGAGTACCGCCAAAGGGTGCAGCGGAGTCCCAAGACCTGACCCTCATCTTCATCATTATTACCAGACCCTCATCTTCATCACTGTCAAGCTGACTGTTCTGAAGCTGCTCTCATCTTCCTTGCCACTGTAAA